ATGGAGGAAGAATATATTATTCTTAACTAGTCTTTCTATTCTCCCCCTCGAAATATGGCCTAAACGACAGTGCCATAATTTCGACGACGCATCGTGAGCTCTCTTGTGCCACCATTTCTAGAGTAACTCTCTGTCACCAGCTACTTTATCAGCTAGGTAGCATATATCTTTGAAGAGCCAGTGAACTAACTCTTTATTCTATCGAGGTACTCGGTGACTGTGTCACACTCTGAGATTGAGCCCACAATTACAGGCTCAATCGTGTTCTTTATCACAGCCAAATATTTCTTGTTGGCAGTGACCCACTTTCTATGCACAAGGGCATATGATATCTTTCGGGATTCAAAATCTCTCTCTTTAGTTGTTCAAGTGGCATCAGCCTCGTTTGTCTCCCTCACCGGTGCCACAGGCTCTGTGGAACACGATGAGGTGACTGCTCAGTCCACCTTAGTCAAGATGAAGGCCAGGTCAAACTTTTTCTTCACATAAAAAATAACAATAATTGCATGCCTTGATTCTAACGTTGGTCAAAATCAAAACATACAACTGTTCTTATACATTAAAATTAACAACTGTTCTTATACACTAATTCTACATCACCGTTGGGCAGAAATAGAATTAATGCATAAATCATTAAAATTATAATATTGTTATTAACAACGTAGGTAAGAAAATAACAACATCATAATCATGTCAAAATCTCTTTTCTTCAATTGTACAACTGTTCTTATACACTAATTTTACATCACCATTGGACAGAAATAGAATTAATGCATAAAATCATTAAAATTACGATATTGTTATTCACAACGTTGGTCAGAAAATAACAACATCATAATCATGTCAAAATCTCTTTTTCCCAATTAAATACCACGTTGGTTCAAAATAACTAGAGAATAAACTATTTCTTTAGTAGCGGAAAAACTCACTTTTTCTCCAATTAAATATCACGTTGGTTCAAAATAATTGGAGAATAAACAATTTCTTTAGCAGCGGAAAACGTATACTCAATTTATTGAATTTTACCCACAGGAAAAATACATTTTTTCTATTTTTCTTTTGAGCCAATTATTCATTTTCCAGGAAATAAAAATATTTGTTGAAAAAGGAAAAAACAAAAAACTGATTCATTTCGTACTGTTCATTCGGTCCAGCGACCAAAACTGCTCGGCCCGCTTCCTTTAGTCTGCGACGCCTACCGCACCAGTGCATAACTTTGGGCCTAGGGCAAGCAAAAATCATTGGGCACACTACCGCTTCTGGCCGCATCATCGTTTCAGCCCGCTCAATCTTGGCCGCTCATCTCATCGGACGGTCATGCAGCAGCATGTCGGTCGAACAAAACGCGACGGGCGCCCTCCCCCGAAACCCTAATGGCCATTCGGCCTCTTTGCTCTCTCTCTCTCTTCGCCGCTCTCTCTTCTCTCCTCACCACAGCGAGGAGAGCGACGACCGAGTGGACGCAGCGAGCGAGCGGGCAGCCATGGCGCCGTCGCCGGCCCCCTCGCCGGCGTCTGCGCCCTCCCAATGAGTGAGTCTTGCCGTCGAAGCGGCCCGTCATGGGCGCCTTTTGGCCGAGCCCCATGAGCAGCGACCCCAAGCTCGGCCCTCTTCTCCTCTCAGCCACCGGCGAGGCAATAATAGCCGCAGACAATGGTGAGGTAGGCCACCCCTTCCCCTTCTTCCCCTTCTTCTCTTTTGGAATTAACCTGATTTGGGGATGGGGTAAAAAATTAGGGTTAGGGTTTCGGGATTTGCACTGTTCTTCTTCCCTAGAGGGACTCTATGGATTTTAGGGTTCGGCTTTGATTCTCTTCTAGGTCGAATCCCTCTTCTTTCGTTCTCTTCTTCACCCGATTAGGGTTAGGGTTACGTTAAGGTTTGGTTGAACCGGATTCGTTTTTTTTCCGATTTTGATTCAAGATCTTCGAGATAAGCCCCTTCCCCTCTTCGCTTTCTTCTCTTTTGGATCTGCTTTCTTGATTTTCTTCTCGAATTCAACCGATTGGGGATTAGGGTTAGGGTTCACTGTTGTTCTTCCCCGAGACTGATTCGTGGGTTAGGGTTCGGCTTTGAGATCATTTCCAAAAACCGACACCCTTTCTCTTCTCTGTGTTTCACTCGATTAGGGTTAGGATAACCCTCTTTCTTCTCAGATCCGAACGGGGTCATTTCTTTTCTTGCCGTGGGCCGGCGAAGATGGCGGTGCGGCATCTTTCCCCGCACGGTGGCGGTGGTGACCGGCAGTCAGTGACGCCCGCCACCCTCCTGTTCTCTTTTCTGTTTTCTTTTACCCGGTTAGGGTTAGGGTTTCAATCCGAAACGGATTGAACCCTGTTCTTTCTTTGATTTCTTTTCTATGCTTTACCTCATACTTTAACCTGGCTCTGATACCATTGTTAGACACAACAGTGCCTCTAAACCGTAGATCAGGGGTAGGCTTTTCTCTTAGATGTGAAAACTGTTGATGTACCTTGGTCTAGGTCACCATTCGGTCCATGGCGCCACAGCGGCTTGGACGACGTGACACGACAGCTCGGTGCAGTGGTTCCAGCGTAGTGGAGTCGAGGTCCAGTGGTGACGGCGGAGTCGGTGGGGCTTCCCATCGCTGACAGCACTACTGTAGATCGGATTAGGTTTTCTGTTGGTGGATCACGGCGGCTCAGACCAACCTCGTAGTTAGAGCCGTGATCTCCACCTCTCTTTTATATGTGCTGTGCGACAGGACCCACCAATCATATTAGGGTTGGGCGCCCCCCATTAGGGCGCAGAGACAAGGGCCCGTTGGGCCTATTGGTGGAGATCAACTAACACATATCACCCTCAAATGAATGGCCAAACGGAGCATCTCAATTTGTGTGTGGAAGATTTCTTCGCTGCACAGTTCATTCGTGTGATCCTAACCACGACAATGGAGTAAATGTATTTCCATGGCAGAATTATTGGGAAAATCTCCATTTGAGGTATTCTATGGCTACTCTCCAAGACAACTTAGTATTGCCGCCGTCGTAGATTTGGAAAGTGGCTGAAGGAACGTGAATTGCTTTCTCAGCTCATCAGGCAGCAACTGCCCCGAGCCCAACAATGAATTAAAGCTCAGGTAGACAAACACATAACTGAAAGAGAGTTCTTGGAAGGAGATTCGGTATTCCTAAAACTACAGCCATATGTGCAGTCCACCGTAGCACCTTGCACGAACTAGAAGCTCTCTTTCTGTTTTTATGGTCCGTTCAAGATTCTCCAGCGCGTGGGGACAGTGGCCTACAGGATGGACCTTCCACCATGGGCTAAGATCCACCTGGTGGTTCACATCTCACATGTTAAGATGCACGTGCCTGCTACTTCTTCAGTAAGTTCGGACCTCTCTTCTATATGAATGGACCCCAAGACTATCAACCCACTATCATTTGTGATTTTAGCACAACATTTTCACTGTTTTTTATAAGCCACTACTTCCATTTCGAAAGATGCAATTCTAGGTCCAATTAACATCAATCTATCTTTTACAAAAACTAGTATCAACATATGTAACTCAAAATAAATATGCTATAAAAATATATTTCATAATGAATCTACTAATAAATATTTAGTATGATAAATAATATTAATCTTTTATATAAATTTAGTCAAACTTTAGATTGTATGACTTAGTATTTTTATAGAATTACATCCTTTCTGAGAAGGAAGGAGTATTTCTATAGACATGAGAAAATCCCATGCCAACTGTTTTTGTTTTATTATAGTGACATTTCCGACCGCCTGTCTGATATATCGGTGCATTAATCAGAAACTTGACCGGATAGTGAAGCCGAACAACCACCCACTAACTCCGCCATTACGATGGACTACTACATCTACCTCGTAAATCTCATGCCAAGGGCTTGTTTAGATGCAAAAATTTTTGCAAAATGAGTACTGTAGCGTTTTCGTTGTTATTTGGCAAATAGTGTCCAATCATAGTCTAATTAGGCTTAAAAGATTCGTCTCGTGGATTTCGTCTAAACTGTGTAATTAGTTTTATTTTTTATTTATATTTAATGCTTCATGCATGCGTCCAAAGATTCGATGTGACGAAGAATGTGAAAAATTCTGCAAAATTTTTTGCAAACTAAACTGGACCCAACTGTTTTTGTTTTACTCCAAAGGGATGGTCGTTCGATGGACTACTACATCGACCTCAATCCATCAAGTATTAAACTTTGGTTTTCAAAAATAAAATATGTCCTACATTGATGGATAGAGGCAGTATATGTATAGCATCGATATTTCAAATTGTGAGAAATATTTCCATAATATGGTTATTTTGAATTTTTTTATTATAATAATGGTTAAAATCATATATTGGAGACTGATGTCTAGATGGGCTAATCCTACAAAGAATAATTGTTGAAATCTTTTGGTAATACAAAACTGAAAAACAATGTAGGTAAATGAAATATCTGCCAATCCTATGGCTACTCGTGACACTAATTAACTAGCATATCAATGGTGAAAAGTAATTACAGATGCCTTAGAGCATCTCCAATAGTTCCAAAAAAGTAATAGGTAAACCAATGGGGTTTTCAAGTGACTAAAAAAAGTTGAGAGCATATTTGTTGTGTTGCTCCAACAGTTCCAAATATTTCGTCCGCCTAAGCCGCAAGCCCGCGATCCGGCGCGGCCTCCTCCGACGTCGAGGCCGTCCTCGAGCCGGCGTCCACGGCCATGACAGCCGGATAAGATATGAGAGCGGAGAGGGATCCAGAGGAGGCGGTTGAAAAATAGTATGAGTTAATTTAATTTACGTTAGAGCTAACCTTATCTTATATTAGTTAGTACTCATTATCTAAAAATAGTATGAGTTACAGAAACTTGTTGACTCAGAAAAGTTAGTAAATGCCAACAACTAACCAACCCCAAAGCGACCTTGCCGTGTCCTCAGCTGCGTGCATCTATATATACAATATAATATATGTATCACCACCGCCCGTCAATGAGCGTGCATACGAATTCGTTAGCACATGAGTCTCCTTCGCAGCATCTCTTGCTCATCCCTTTCGTTTTTCTTGATCGCACTGGTCATCACCAGTAGCAGCAGTAGTGCTACTAGCACCGGTAGCATTTCAGGAACCAGAAGATATAATGCCATGTTCAGCTTCGGAGATTCAGTTGCCGAAACCGGCAACATCTGCATCGTCAGCAGCAACAACTCGACGGAGCTCGATGTGCTCACCTGCACGCATCCGCCGTACGGCATGACCTACTTCGGCAAGCCGTCTTGCCGGTGGAGCAACGGTCGCGTGGTCGTTGACTTGATCGGTAGATACACACATTTCCTTGTTTAAAATTAATTTCATACTATAACAATAACTATATGCTAAGTAGTAAAGGCCTTTGTTTAGATCACATGAGCTTTAGACCATTTTAGCTCATGAGGCTTCAAACAGGAGGTCTAAGAGCATCTCTAAGTGCCGTCTAAAGTTTTGCAAACCTCACAAAAACTTATCACATAAGTGAGCTAAAGTGGTCTAAATTTTTAGTCTATAACTTTCGCCAACTAAACTTATTGGAGAATTCGAAAAGACCCTAGGTAAAAAAAGGATTGGCATGATCTTGGAAAAAAACATAGAACATGCATGACACGACGATCATTAGAAATTCACAAATTAGAAATATTTTAGTATACTCTAGACCAACACACTCAAATACAAATAGGGATCAGAAACATGCAACACCTCACTTAAGATCACCGGTAAAGCTTGAAGTGAGACCAAGGATGGGGTAGTAGTACTACTCAATAGTATATTAATATTTAAGCTTTATAATGATTATTTACTCCAACATTTTAGTTAAAATAGGTATAAATATATCTAAAGTAACAAGTTACATAAATATATCATTGTTATTAATATAAGTTAAAATAATTTGTTAGTATCATTAGTATATAAGTCGATAAGGAATTAATTTTTTTATAATTGCTAAAACATAACATATATATTTATCACTCATGCACATGTGTAGTTGATCATCATGATGGTACAATATATGTGTTTACTTTAATCAAATTTTAATATAATAATGATAATATTAATATTAATAGGAGTGCGTAATGTAGAAACATATATATATTCATTATGGTTATTTAAACATTTCTAATAGTAGATATTGATAATTTACATTTATATTTGAGGGGACATTTCAGTTGTCTTAATAAGGATATATAAGTGGTAATTTAGTTCTAATTTAAGTGGTTACAAAGATTATCTATTAGAACAACCAGTGAGTAATTAGATGCAATTTATATTTACTTTAGATCTTGTTTTTTCAATGGTATGGAACTTTATATTTTTTTTACACAATCACAGAGGCGGTAATTATTTAAAAAATGGAATAGATCCAATGACTATTATTACCAATGGTGTTTAGAGTGTACTACATTAGTGGATAGTTGCATGTTTCTAATTTTTGTGATAATTTCTACTGTTCATGTTTTTTCTAGGGGGTCTCATTAGCATTAGAGTGGAGGCTCCATTGATCTCATCTAGTCAGTATTTCTTATATGTATCCCTTTTCCCTAGCATGGTATGTATTTAGTTGAAAACTTAGCTTAAGTTATACTCCCTTCATCCTGTAATTTAAGGGATCCAAGCGATTTTTGGACAAAATAAAGAGCTAGGCAAAAGAACACCTTACCCATCACTAACTAGGATGGAGGGAGTAGTCCAGTTGTTATTTTTTCTTAATTAATACTAATTGTTTTAGATGACACTAAGTTTAAAAGAAAATCTTAATATTTTCTGCCAAAAAGGATAGAGGAGAGAGATGGTTGAGGATCGAGAACGCCATGTATTTTAGTATAATATTTTAAACTCTTAATCCCTTATATTACAGGATCGGTGGAGTATAACCTTAGGTTACTTTGCATTATCTTTCATAATCATAATCATAATGCCGAGGGTGGATAATTTATAAAAAATATATGGTTATCTAAAATTATCTTTCATAATGACAGAGGTGGTTAAAATATATATTGCTGTGTGAGCTCAAGGTTGTCGATTTAAATCCTGGAAGGCACATTTTTTTTGTTTTTTCTGAGTTCTTTGAAAATCATCAGTAGAGACGACATCTTAACGCATCCTCTCTACAAATAGTATTAATAGAGACGGACAAATTAAAATGCCCGCCTAAGAGATAATTTGATAGAGGCTGTTGGCTTGCCCATCTATATTAATAGAAAATACCCACACCTCTAAAAAGGTTTCATGTACTAGTGATAGCAGCTATGAAATGGGAAGAATGGACTAAAAAAAAATCTCTCGCTCATTGATAGAAAAAGGTCCAGAACTGAATGTCCCAACCGATTAATGGGGTACCCATTTTTATTTCTTTGGGTAGAAGTTTGTTTTTGTGTTTTACTTTTACCACATATTGGCACAGCTCAATCGCTTGGACTCCCACTACTTGCACCATCGAAATCCAAAGGCAAAGATTTCCAAAAGGGTGCAAATATGGCCATCACCGGTGGTACTGCGCTGAACTTCTCCTTCTACCAATCAATGGGCGTTGAAGATCCAGTGTGGAACCATGGCTCGCTAGACATGCAAGTCCAGTGGTTCAAGGAGTTGATTGCTTCCATATGCGGGACAAAAGAGAGTGAGCGCTTCATCACTCTCTTCTTATTAATTAATGGATTCCTCGCCTTTCCATTAAATTAGTACGCCATCTGTTTCAAATTATAACATGTTTTCGCTTTTCTGCCTACGTTGTTTTTATCATGTATCTAGATATAATATATCCCTAATATTATAGAGGCAAAATTTCTGCCAACAAAAAAAAATTGTCCAACTTTACACAACACTAATCTCCGTTTCCAGCTCGCAGTCCAAATCAGATCCGTAACCAGCAGCAGCAAGGCAAAGGCAGGACGTGTACGTCCACCGATGGCCCAGCCGGCCCTGTTCACAGTGTTTTGGTTTTATTTTTTCAGCGATTTCAGCGAAGCAAACGGGCCGAAGACAGGTTAGCATACAAGTCTAAACCTGTCCGATCTCTCTTGCATCGCCGGTTTGGCCAAAACGATATCACAGGGACTCAACAAATCATAGCGCACACACATCCCGAATCGTATACAAATTGTATCCCAAATCAAACACAAATCGAATAAAAGCAATCAATAAATCGAGCCCCATCGACAAGAACTGCTCGTCCAGACGTCCACCGTAATTGGACCCCAATGCAGCCATCGGCTACTACCTTGACGGCCATGTGGTCGACATGAGGGCCGCCGGGGAAGATGGGAAGAGGGCCACTGCACCGTTGATCGGCCGTCCGGACTCTTTGGGATGTCGCCGCGCCTGGCAAGTCTCCCATCAGAGTATCGGACGTCCGCGCACCATTGCAACGTAGAAATTATAATTAAATATATTTATGATTGTCAAAGAAAGTCATGCAACTCGACATTTAACTGTAGCAACACATGCATGATGTGAAAATTAAATTTATGATATATTGACATCTAAATATTGTTATGCTTTGCAACCAACAAACAACGTATCAATATTATAATTCAATATAGGCTTAACATGACATTGTAATATTATTGCCAATATTAACTTACATTATGGAGGTCTCGTCATCGTCATAAAATAATTTATTAAATTTTATAGATAGAGCAAAATATAAATAAATAAATAAATATGTACTGTTCATGTCTTTTCAATGCACTTACAAATCATAAACATTTGGTAGTTTTTTGTCTATCCTAATATTAAAGTACGTATTAACTGATCCTACACTCTTCCATGCCTGTATGAGTTAAAGTGTATAGACATCCTAAGATGACTCTGATTCGTGTCTACTTTGACATAATTACAAAGCGGTCAAATTACAAGTCTAACTGTCCGTGAAGTCTGATTTAAAAAAATAGAGAGTACACTGTCGTTGAATAAATCCTCGAGCTATAAGTTATCCAGTTCACTATGAAATAATCTGTATATACCATTGCAACGTAGAAATTATAATTAAATATGTTTATGATTGTCAAAGAAAGTCATGCAACTCGACATTTAACTGTAGCAACACATGCATGATGTGAAAATTAAATTTATGATGTATATCCAAATATTGCATAGTAAAAACTACGTATGTAGAAAAAGCTCTAAAAAAAGTAAAACGTCTTATAATTTGGAATTGATGGGATACATTTTTGACGTAGCTATCTGCAGTATTTTTTTTGTATAGATTTAATGCAATATAATTCAGCTGCCGCTTGTGTATATATCATGCTAGAGTGCACAGGGTTTCTAGCAGAATCGCTGTTTCAGTTCGGTGGATTTGGAGGAAACGACTATAATATCCAGCTTCTTGAGCTTGGGCTGACCGTTGAGCAGGCAATGGAGAACACCCCATTGATTGTCGATGCCATCGTTAACGGTATTGAGGTAACATATAATATATCTTTTTTTAAGAGTACAAGACCAACGTTTAAGCATTCATTACGATCATCACCACCACACCATGCGGTAGCAAAACCGGTAATATATATATAATACATCATCATCGTGGGCTATTTGGATCTTTTTATTTTGGGGAATTAGAATCTACTTAATAAACTAGACTATTTGGTAGGAATTTCATAACTTTTCAAAGTTCACATATAGCCTATCTCAAATTCATAGGGTGGAAGATAGAATTTAATTCTATAGATCACCATACTATATTTCTACTTCGCAACTTATAACACGGTCATCATCTCGCTCTCCTACTATACATAAGTATGTCTCGTATGACCCATAATAATATACAAATATATTTCGTATACGACCATATTAGCTTAATTAATCTGTATCTAAATTATAATTATTAAATGAATTCAATTCCAGGGTCCAAACAGGGCCTACAGGAAATTACTCATAAGCTATTACGAATATTTTGTCATTTGGTGCAGAGGCTGATTGCACTTGGTGCTGTTCACATTGTTGTCCCGGGCATTCTTCCAACGGGCTGTCTCCCACTCTTCTTGACGTTATTTTCTCAACCTCAAGCGACAGACTTCGATCAGCACGGCTGCTTGAAAAGTTTCAACCGTCTGACAGAGTACCACAACTCGATGCTCCAGAAACAAGTACAAATACTCCAAGCCAAGCATAGGTCAACAAGGATGATGTACGCAGATTACTCCTCCCAGGTGTACAAAATGGTGCAACAGCCTCAAGAGTTTGGTATGTATTTTATTTTATTTTAATAAAATAGGTTCCAAGATCGCAAGAAAGGGTCGTTGCAGATAGGAGGAAATTAGACTACGACTGATATATTTGTGCCGTGGAATTATGTATTAGGATTCAGAAATCCTTTGGAAACGTGCTGCGGGGCAGGAGGAGGCAAGTACAACTTCGACGTCGGCGCCAGATGCGGCATGCCGGGCGCAACAACAGCTTGCCGCGACCCGTCGGCTCGCCTGAGCTGGGACGGCGTCCACCCGACGGAGGCGGCGAACAAGATGATCGCCGACGCCTGGCTCAACGGCCCCTACTGCACCCCGCCTATTTTAAGCTGAACAAATCAAATCATATATACGCATGCATGCTCTCGACCGTACGTCGTCGTCTTATCTTAATAAGAACACGGTGACCATCAGCGCCGGTCCTAAGGTTTCAAGGGCTCCCCTCGTTACGATGGTCCGTCAAAGACTATGTATATGTTTGTTTAATATAGATATATACAAATATCTAATTTCACTTAAAAAAACAAATGCAATGATATATTCTTATTTTTTTATGGGAATATATTTTCAAGTTTAACATATTAAATAATGATAAATGAACAACACTATTATAAACTGATCATATCGGTCATATCCATTGCCTGGATCGATCGACATGAATACCTTGCTGGCATGCTGCATGACGATTGAGAGTTGAGATTTGAATCTTTAGACTCCAGGGCGTCACATGCTAGCGTTGATCCCTGAATCTGATGGCCGATGCCGGGTGGCCATGGCCTACTGCTGGTCAGGATGCCACGCTCCTGCTCGTTTGTTGCACGCGGCACGCTAGCACAGCTCGGCTGATGCATCACTACTAGAGAACAGATTTTAGAACGATATCCTAATTTAGCATTAGCCTCGATATTTTTTGCCGTCGGGACTAAAGGATCCTTTAGTCCCGGTTCGTAATACCAACCGGGACTAAAGGTCCCTGCCCAGTGGTCGTTCGCGTGGCAGGGATCTTTAGTCCCGGCTGGTATTACCAACCGGGATTAAAGATAAACCTTTAGTCCCGGTTGGTAATACCAGCCGGGACTAAAGGTTTTAGTCCCGGTTTGGGTGATACCCCGAGAATAAATATTAATTTTTAGTCCCGGTTTGGCCACCTAACCGGGACTAATTATGCCGGCCTATACACCGGCTCATTTCTTCCTCCCCGAGCCCGAGCCATTCCATTCAAACTCACTGCCTCTGTTCTTCAGCTTGCTGTTGTTCTTGCTCTCTCCCCCTCCATTGGTGTTGCTCTTCGATTTTGGAGGTAACAAACTTAATCCTCTTATGTTTTATCAGTAGCTTATCTCATTTTGCGATGTAGATGCATGTGTAACTTTATATGTTGGACTTTATTATGATTTTATATGTCATTTTTAGCTCAAAATCACATGATGATTTGCATATATGTTTAGATAAACAAAAGTTAAATTAGTTCATCAAAATCACGCCTCGCTCGTCCTCGCTGGAGCACGCACCATCCTCGTCCCCGGCGGCTTACGTGATCTTAGAATTAATTTTTCCATAAAATGAAAAACTTAGAAAATAGTTAGAAAATCCGTACTAATTGAACTTGTGGACCGTGATCATCTCGGCGAGCATTTTCTCTGCCGAGCGGTAACGAACGTCAAGGAGGAGCTTTGATTCTACGAGGGAGAGCGGCAACGGTCGTGGAAGACCGTGTTCCCTTCCTCGTAGAATCGGAGCTCTTCCTTGGCCAAGTACGGTGCCGTCCGGTGGAGAAATGCTCGCCGAGATGATCACGTAAGCAAGGTCAACTAGTACGGATGGTTGTTTATTGAAATAAATAAATAATTTTAGTTTTGTTTAAATATATTATTTTAGAAAATGTGAAATTTACAGTAGTTTGCAAAAATAACTATAGAAAGTATATGACAACTGGTACCGGATCCTCGGCCTCTCGTTAGGTTATGAACGATCGAGGCCGAACTCCCTCTCATTATCTCAAGGCAAGTGTAAGCGTAAGATTGTGATGGAGTACCGAGTCAAGAGACAGGGACCCAACAAGGGTCGTGTTTTCTACAAGTGCTCGGATCGCGATGTGAGTTTCTTACGCATTTGATTATTATGGCTAATTGACCTGCTTTTCTTGAATATTTTTGACTAAATATTTTTGGCTTTAATTTCAGTGGGAGGGCAATGGATGCGATGGTTGGTACTTGGGAGGAAGATTATGCTACATACGCATGCGAATTAATTTGGCTTCTTGATGAGGCGGTGAGCTAAAGCGGGAGAAACTTATTGATATTCAAAAGAAGAATGATTTGTCTGCTTTTTAGTTGCGTCACGATCACGAAATAATTATGTTATCTTGAAGTGCATTGTAGTTTTAGTTTGTTTAGTGATAGTTGGGATTGCTTACGTTGTAGCCAGGCTTAGTTAATTAATCAACCGTGTGTGTGTCATCTATGTTGTGTAATAAAATACTTAATTATGTTCAAGGTTTTTATAATTTGTCGTGTAAAACAGATTATATCACGCCATTGGATGTACAATGCCGATCGCCGCTCCCAAAGCTTTATTGAGGGCTTGCACTATTTCTTAGGTGTGGCCGAGGCAAATAAGCGGGATGGTTTCATGTGCTGTCCATGTGCCCTATGTAAGAATTTAAAGGAATATTCAAGCTCAATGAGTCTTCATTCACATTTGCTTAAGTCAGGTTTCATGTCAAACTATATATGTTGGACTAAGTATGGAGAAAGCGGGGTCATGATGGAAGAAGGTGAAGGAGAAGATTTAGACATTGATGATATTATTGCTCAGTATGGTGCCTTTGATGATACTACAATAGGGGGAGATGAAGAAGAGGTAGCGGTAGAAGATGATCTCGGTGATGCTCTTGGCGATGCCATTCGTGATACACAACAAGAATGGGAAAGTGAAAAAGAGAAAGTTAAGTTCGAGCGCATGCTTGAGGATCATAGGAAGTTGATATACACGACGGCCGAAGAGGGGCAAAAAAAAAAGCTGGGTACAACACTGAAATTGCTACAGTGGAAGGCAAAGACTATCTGACAAGGCATTTGAGAATTTATTGAACATCATAAAGAAGATGCTTCCGAAGCCAAATGAATTGCCCACCACTACGTACGAAGCAAAAAAGGTTGTCTGCCCTTTGGGATTAAAAATCCAGAAGATACATGCATGTCCTAATGACTGCATCATCTACAATGGCAATGAATACGAGAATTTGGATGAATGCCCGGTATGTAAAGCATCGCGGTATAAGATCAGGCGCGATGATCCTGGTGACGTCGAGGGTGAACAACGTCGTAGAAAGAAAATCCCTGCCAAGGTTATGTGGTATGCTCCTATAATACCACGCTTAAAACGTTTGTTCAGAAATAAAGACCATACAAAGTTGTTGCGGTGGTATAAAGAAGACCGTAAGGTAGACAATATGCTGAGACACCCAGCTGATGGGTCCCAGTGGAGAGCGATAGACAGGGAATTTCCAGAGTTTGCAAATGAGGCTAGAAACTTAAGGTTCGCCTTAAGTACAGATGGTATGAATCCTTTTGGAGAGCAGAGCACTAGTCATAGCACTTGGCCAGTTACTCTATGTATCTACAACCTTCCTCCATGGTTATGCATGAAGCGGAAGTTCATTATGATGCCGATCCTCATCCAAGGTCCGAGGCAACCTGGCAACGATATTGATGTCTATCTGAAGCCATTAGTTGAAGAACTTCTAGTTTTATGGAACAAACCAGGTGTACATGTCTGGGATGAGTACAAACAAGAACACTTTGACCTACGAGCAATGTTGTTCGTAACAATCAATGATTGGCCTGCTTTAAGTAATCTTTCAGGTCAGACAAACAAAGGATATAATGCATGCACACATTGTTTTGATGACCTTGACAGTATATATTTGAAAAGATGTCGAAAGGTCATGTACCTTGGCCATCGTCGATTCCTTCCTTTGAATCACCAAGTAAGAAAGAAAGGGAAGCATTTTAAAGGTAAGCCAGACCACCTGAAGAAGCCTCATAACCGAACCGGAGAAGATGTACTCGCAATGGTCAAGGATGTGAAAGTAGTATTTGGAAAGGGACAAGGCAGTGAATCTGTTTCCAAAAATGCTAAGGGACACGCACCCATGTGGAAGAAGAAGTCCATCTTTTGGGAGCTACCCTATTGGCAAGTCCTAGAGGTCCGCAACGCAATCGACGTGATGCACCTGACAAAGAATCTTTGTGTGAACCTGTTAGGATTCATGGGTGTGTACGGGAAGCCAAAGGATTCACTTGAAGCACGCTAGGACTTGCAGGGTATGAAAGAACGAGACAACCTTCATCCAGAGAAGACAGATGATGGACGTCATTACTTAAGTCCTGCTAGCTACACGCTTAGCAAAGAAGAGAGGGACAACATGTTTGAATGTCTAAGCAAAGATCAAGGTCCCATCGATTCTCCTCCAATATAAAGGGTATAATAAATGTGTGTCGATAAGAAATTCCTAAACTTAAAGTCCCACGACTGCCACGTGCTTATGACGTAATTGCTTCCAGTTGCTTTAAGAGGAATTCTACCTCCACATGTACGTCTAGCCACCGTGAAGCTATGTGCATTCCTCAATGCAATTTCTCAGAAGGCAATCAATCTAGTAGAACTAGCTACTCTACAGAATGATGTGGTTCATTGTCTTGTCAGCTTTGAGTTGGTGTTCCCTCCATCCTTCTTTAATATCATGACACACATCCTAGTTCATTTGGTGAAGGAGATTAGTATTTTTGGACCTGTGTTCTTACATAACATGTTCCCTTCGAGAGGTTTATGGGAGTCTTGAAGAAATATGTGAAAGTCTGTTCTAAGCCTGAAGGAAGCATCGCCCAGGGCTATGGAACAGAGGAGGTCATTGAGTTCTGTGTTGACTTTATTCCTGACCTTGCCTCGATTGGCGTTCCCGAATCACGACACGAGGGGAGACTTAGTGGTAAAGGAACTTTAGGGAAGAAAATATATATCGGCATGGAAGACGATTATTTCAATAAAGCACACTACACAGTTCTTTAGAACTCATCATTGGTGCATCCGTACATCAAGATACATAAGGAGTTCTTACGATCCAAGTTTCTAGGGAAGACTGAAGCTTAGATTAGGCGTCAGCACATGGAAAGTTTCAGTGGTTGGTTGCGAAAAGAATGTCAAGGCGATGACAATATTGATGATCAACTGTATTTGTTAGCTAGGCAGCCATCGTGGCATATCCTCACGTACCAAGGGTACGAGATAAATGGGAATACATTTTACACAGTTGCCCAAGATAAAAGGAG